CAGCTCTTCCCAGATCTAATAGGGCATCTCTAAATGCCAGTTCAGTAAGGTTTTGGAACTGTGAACCCACTATCCTGCCAATATGCAGGACAGCAGCAGGAGGAGCAATGACAACACAAGGTCCAAACCTCAGTGTGGTGTTCGACTGTGAAATAGTCCTGAAAGATACAGTCACCATAACAATGCAAATTCTGGTCAAGGCAAAGTGTGTTTAAGAATCCAGAGGGCTTACAGTGGCTTCAACTCTTGTTTTGGGATTTAGAAAAACTAGACTGTAGAGCCCCATGTGACTGTATATGAACAAAACAGATTTACGTCCCTTTGGCTATGAGACTGAATCTGGTAGTGTCAACAGGCATCACAACGAACAGGAATCTTAAGGTTTGTCCTATTCTGCACTTTCTCCCTACCACCAAAAGGAGCAAATGCACTTCAATGTGAACATTGTTTACAGCAATTACTGAAATTCTACCAGAGATGCATTAGCATTTTAAAAAGCATCTGTGTGATGAAGTGACTGATAAAGCATTTTAGAAAAATGTTTTAAAGTGTTCTCCTTTGCTTTATCTGTAATAGACTACAATTAATAGCAACAGAAAATTGCTTTAAAAAGGAACTATCAATTGGGATGAAATGTAGATCATAAGAGGGCAGGATGAAAGACTGGAATAAATGACAGACAGGAGAGAAGACATAGAAATTCCTCATTACTTTTGACTTAACCAAAGCACAAGAATCTCAAAGTATTTGTTATCACCATTGAACATCCATGTGACGCAAAGGCATACCAGCTCACAATTTTCCAGAGAAATCTGCAAGAAATGAGAGTATTAATGGTCTGTGAATGTTGCAAAGGTTATCTCATGAGCCAGGAACAGATTTTTAAGGACTTAGTTCCCATGTCTTTATTTTCAAAGAAGTATTGCAGTTATTGCTCTGTGGCGCAATGAGTTAATACAATAAGGCATATAACACTTTGGTTTACTGGGAGCCATGCTAGCATTTCAGAGGACAATAGCCAAAAGCATGGTTCAGTTCCTGGAACCTTCCCTACAGTAGAAAGTTTTACCAGCAAAGCCACCCATGCTTCAGAAGAAGCTCCTAAGCATTTATATTCTGAAGCAAATCTGAATGACTCTCAACCTTCTCTTGACAGAGAAAGCTGGCTTCCTAAGACTCAAGTATTACCAGTCACAAAAAAGGCTCTCAACAGCCACACAAAGACATCCATGACAGTAGGGAACAACATACCCGCCCTCCAGATCTGGTTACTTCCAACACACGTGATGCCTCATCCTGAGAAACAGTGTTGATTAAAAGCTTCCCCCTTTTTAAAATCTTCTGCATCTTATGGCCTGAACTTTCTTTCAAATAATTGTGTGGTGGTCAAGTGACTACTGCCTCCAGCTCTGGGAATACCACATACGGAAAAGGTCTGACTGACCTGAGGAGTTTGCACAAACTTCAAACTTCAGCTGAGAGCCAATGAAGAGGAAGCAGATTGTGATAAGAGAACATGTGAAATAGCCCCAAGTGAAACCCAAGGCTGACAAAGAAGAAACTTCCAGCATGAATATCAGATTGCTCCTGAGAAAGACCTCACCATGCTGATGACTCAACTTTCTGCTCAAGGAATACTGAGTGTCAACCTCAGGACCCACAGGAACAGTGGAAGGGTGAGCATACCACCATAGGAAAGGGGTAGAAAGTGTGAAGGCTCTGCATAATTCCAGCTGTAAAGTTAATGAGGCTTTTCTGTATTAACTAGATAACTTGGACTATCAGACCATTAAAACATTAAGTGGACGAACAATAAATTCTTGACCCCATTTATATAATGCATTCCTTTTTGCGCATTACAAGATTTGGAGTGTAGCAGGCGTGCCAAACTGCCTCAGGATTACAGGTGTGTATTCTGACATGGGAAGACCATGGAAAATACAGAGCACAGGGAGGAAAAGGGAAGAAGCCACACCATGTCCAGAGAAAAAGAAACAACAGCACAAGCCTAGCGTTGTCCTGAGACTTGGATCTACTCTCTTAATGCCATAAGGCACTAGAAACTAATACTGTTCTACGAATACAGTGTCTCACAAAACATGATGCAAAAAAAACCAGAACTGAGGTAGAAACAGAGGGGCTTGAGTGATAGGAAGGAATCTCCTCAAAATGCAGCTAGGCTGTCAGAGCCCTTCAGTCCCTAAAGAAAAGGGCTCTGCACAGGTATTATTTTACAGGACTGTCTACCAATTTACATGGAATTTATTTTGTTTGCTTTTGCTATAGTCTTCAGGACATTGCTTCTCCCTCTCTGCCTATCAAAATTTGGTGGCCAGCCACACATGGAAGCAAAGGGATTTTTGCACTAAACTAGCTACTTCATTTTGAGGATATAAAATGGTTATACCATGCAATAGAGGAAAACATAAAGCAACAAAAACCATCCTGAAGTACATAGTTTTACAGAAAATAAACTGCAATCAGATTTCATGCAGCTACTGAAGAACAAAATTAGAGGTAGTTATTATTCTGGGCTTACAGTCTTAAGATGGTAGAAAGTACATATCCCATATTGAGGAACTGGTTTGGATGGGGTTACATCACTAACCTACAGAAGAGGTGACATCACAGTTATAGTGCAGACGCTAACTGATCTCAGCACATAGACAACTTTTTAGTCACCTACTACAGGGTCCCTGAATCTTTTCAGCAGGCAGCATTTAAGGTCTGCACCGATATCTGTAAGCAGAAATGCTTTGTTTCCCCCTCGTGCTATCAGACCTCCCCACAAAACTCAACAAAAACTTGAAAACATTGCAGAGAAAAGTCCAGCCGCAGAAGAGACATTTATAAGCCTGCTCAGGCACTCCATTTTCTCAGCCTTTTTGGCACCTTGAGAATGAATGTACACTGAAAGATTGTGACAGCCTACAAGAAATTTAGGAGGTTGTACAACACCATCCTGAAACTGTGCTGTTAAATTGTCATAAACTGTAGTGGCTGTGAGCCTGTCCATACTGTTATACAGCCCAAGGTGAGAAAAGTAAGACATTGTAATATTTTTCTTTAGCTGTCTACTAACTCTCATCTGAAAAACACCTAATAATGGCTCTCTATTTAAGATTGAGTTACATCATTGAATTTTCATGTGCCGGCATAAGGTTGCTGAACAGCTTGAAGGAAAAAGGAAACTTGGAAAAAAAAAAATCTTGCATTGCTGACTATGCAAATATTACGAGCCTTCCGCAGTTACCATTATCAGCAAGTCAAGCCCAGTAAGCCAAAAATATCTGCATAACCAGGAGGAGGTAGCTATTCCTTTAGGTAAAATTCAGAGATAAGGAATAAGCACAACATAGGATTAGCACGCGTGTCCCATCTGTCACCTATTCTGCAGTTAGCATAACCCACTGCAACATACTCAATTACTTTATGAAGACTTTTTCGTGTATGTAATCCTCTACAACAGGTTATGCTTCATTATTCTGCAGTCCCATATGACAAGAGCCCCCACCAAACCTTTTAAAAACAACTAATGGGGATTTGGAGCTCCTCACTCTGACAGTAAAAGGCCATCACCCATGACATATACATAACTTTAACATTAGGCCTATCCACAGTGTAACAGGGACACTCATTACCTTTGAGAAGCAAGGAAAGAGGAGAGTGGAATACAGAGATTCAGAACCTGGTAGTGTTTGGGATAAGATAACCCTTATTACCACAGTTCTCTGAAAGGCATGATGTATTCCTTGTATATCCTTGTAGCAGTATTGCATACCATAAACACTTTTCCACAAGGTAGCACAACAGATAGCTTATGCTCACAATGCAAGAACACCATGCATCTTTTGATCTGGAAGGGCATCCAAATGTGAGCAAATGTTACCAAATGGCAGATGGATACTGGCAAAACTCTTGCTAATAAAGCTGTATAGCATTGGCATAGCCCACATTTCAATTTGAAATGACGATAATGAAGTCACATCACTCTGCTGGCATTCTGAATCACCTTCCACCCTTGTCTTCAGTTTTATCTGCTCACTCTCACATGGATGTAATCACTGATTGATCATACAAAACCCTGAAGGACTAGACACAATCTCCCTGACATACCGAAATACTGGAGTGCCATTTTCTTTCCAGAAAAAGACTAGAGATATAGTAAAACTGTGATTTTTTTTCAGTTTTACTATACATCACTTAAAGACAATGTAGAATCTTTTCCTAAAAATGTAAAAACTTAAAGAAGATTCAAATTCCTTCTACATATAATGAAATTACATTCTCATTTTCCACATGGATTTTGTTTTTTCAACAAATACAATCTTAGGAAGTAAATATCTCTCTGCTATAAACACTGAAAGATAAGAACTGCTTACTGCTGTTGAGCCAGAAGAGCATACAAACTGGTACATCCATCAGATTCAAATCACTGCACAAATAAATAGAATTATTAACAATTCTAAACATTATCCTCTTACTAATTTTCTGTACTTATGAACTATCAAGTCAAAATAAATAATCTAAAAACCCCACAGCCCTATTATAGCTATAATTCCATGCTGTAGCTCTGTTTTTCTTACTTAAAGAATAACTATTATCTATCATAGCTGAGATTGTGCCTAGAGGCTCAGAAAGTTCTTTTATATGCTACCTTTATGACACCCTTTTCACTCCTTGGCAACAAGTCATTAAGTTCCACAACTGTTTCTGCTCTTGTTCTCCTAGAAGTTCTTACCAGACATTTTGGGTTAACACCACAATAGGAGGCCCCTCTGCAAGTTATTTTGACACCAGAAGTTATGAGGTGTATATCAATGCAAATGGTTACTAAGACTATTCAGTGCAACACGCATGAAGACAGGACTACCAATCAAACTCAAATAACTTCTTATTCATTTAAGCTGCATAGCTACAAACAAAGCTTTGAATTTATTGTATATCAGACAAGAAAGTATTTCTCATCTGGAACCTGCCATCTAAATAGGAATACTCACCCTGCTGCAACTGCAGGAGGGATGACCAGTATGAGTTTAAGTTGTGCTTCATGCAGAGCTTCAGAAAGATGAATGAGCAAGTGAATCAACTCCCTGAAATATAAATATATTGTTAGAGGGAAAGCCAGTAAAACTGGTGCTATACGTTGGCAAGAACAAGTTAACAAGTAACAGTAGAAATAATTGAAAAGATGCAGCTGGCAAGAAAGCCAAACACAGTTTGTAGTGAATGACCATAGCAGAAAAAAAAATTAGGAAGACTGGTCAGAGGTTTACCCTCTTCCAGGACTAAGAACACTGAACTCCTGGAGACAGTCTTAGTTTTATTGGAACTGGTGATCACCTTGGGGCTAAAATGTTTCCTAGTTTTATTTTAATCTAATTATGCATTGTTAGCATGTAAAACCAGCATATCTTATCAGAGCAGCTCACCTCTTGAGGTCATATTCAGTAAAAAGAATTAGATCAACAGAAGAACCAAACATTGTTCTGAAACAAGCAGCTGTTGAACAGATTCAAGTTGCCACTGTATTACTACACATGAGGGCTGAGAATTTGTAGAGATGCTTTCACAGCAAGATACGCAATCTTCAACGGATATTTTTGAGGCCTGTATTTAGAAGCATTTCTGCTGCTGTTTTTTTCTGTATAAATAATCCTTTTGTTTCTCAATACATTACTGTACAGCTACAAAATAAATGTTTGACAATGTCATATCTGGAGGTATCACCTTCCATATGCATCATTTAAAGACTTTCACAAAAGCTGATTTTCATATCCATATTCTAAACATTTCAATAGGAAAATAAACTCCAAAATTCTCATGTAAACCATTTTTAGTTTTCCTGATTTGAAGGGTGATGTTAATAGAAAAATTATTCAGAGACAGACTGCAGAAGTAAAAAAGTTTAATGGCTATTGTTATCTTAAGAGAAGTCCAATATTACCTTCAATTTGCACTATAAATATGGCCCTTCTGTGTGCCTTCCTTAAGTCACTGGATTTTTCAGAACAAAGTCAACTTTCACATTTACCCACTGGCATCGTGGATCCACAAAGGCAGTCAGATGATATTAGTACAGAATTCTAGATCAGTTCAGAACTATGCTTAAACCTGAACCAAGTAGAAAGCATCTTCAAGACCCACTCCAGTAGGCTAAAAGTACTAAAGCAGGAAAGGCAGGATATACATAAGCAATCATCCAAGTTGTTTGCTACACTTAAACTGGATTAGACCTGAACTCTCAGAAACAACTTTTGGTACTGTCATGCCTTTCAAGGCAGTATCATCGTAGAGATATTTTTCTGAAATCCTTGATCATCCAACATGATTATCCATCACAGTAATGATGCTTGACTTGCACAATGTAGACACTATCCAAAGGTAACCAAGTATTTTCATTTTCCCTGAAATGGTTTGATGCCTGATGAAAACTTCCTAAGGATGCTACAAAAGCCATTACTCTCAAAATCCTGGCAAACAAACAAAGCAAGTTTTATTACTTTCCCAATACCATCAGTATTTTGTGCTTACAATTTGAGGGCTGGCTGTGCTGAACAGCTCTTGACAATGAACTGTCACATTGCCACCTGTATTTCTCTTCCAGGGGGAGACATGAGATTACAGGAATCAGCTTTTGGTCTGTCTGCACCATGTACTTCTACTATTCTTGCTCTGGGAAAGTAACAGCTTTCCCTCCCATTTCCTTATCATAGGCATCCCACATTAAGAGTATCGCTATTCATACATTAATTATAGCAAAGAAGAATCCTTTTCCATAGGAACGCATTAAAAAATTACAACACTAAACTGAACAAGCATTTATTGACTCCAACATAAACATCATGGCTCCCACATGACATAATCTTATCAAAAACTATAATCAGTATTAAAACTAGCTAAGCCTTCTTTCCCACTGATTTGTGTCTCATGGCTAAGTGACCTTTTTAACTAATTATGCCCAAACTGCAATATGAGTGCACCCTTTATTATATGTCAGAGATGCTACATATAAGATAAATTTGAGCAAAGAATCAATTCCTCTGGCATTGAGATCATTCTACACTGTTCATCAGCAGGGATCTCTCCTCTCTGCCTGGCTGCCTTTATTAGCTGTAGGAACTTTGAAACCTCTACACCATGCAAAACATTTGCTGACTTTAAATTTAATTATTTAGAAGGTGAAGGGATAGAAGGAGGGGCAGAATAGGACAAAAGAACCTAACATAAGTGCAGAGCAAGATAACGTATTTTTCTTTTTCATTTAGAAACAAGGCTAACACCCTCACTCCCACTCTGCATCTCCACATATTTGTTTCAACTCCTAAAATTTTGCTATCCAGATAGCAAAGCATAAGAAGAAGAGCAGTTGGGATTATTTTGAACTGGATGCAGAGAAAAAAAAATTCAAGTGAATATTAAATTCAAGGTTTCCCCCTTCCTCAGCAATGTCAGACGCTAGTTAGCCAGCAGAAGTAAAAATGTATCCACAAAAACAGTGACTGCACAAAAGCAGTCACATTTTAAAACTAGAAAGGCATACAGCATAGAACCACAACCTACAACTGTAAATGAAGGACAGAGATTTGTGGCCTGATAAAGGGGCAGGAGTGCAGTTTGGATTGCTAGCTTTATTTTGTAGCTAGCAGACAGGACTCTAACTAAAACCAGACTCCATCAAAACAGCCACTTCCTCTCCTCCTGCCACCAAATCCAAGCAGTATAGCTCTGGCCAAAAAATAATTTGCTTCAACTTGGAGGCGGTCAGGAAGAAAAGGGGTAGCTGGACAACTGCAGATTCTTGCTCAAGAAACTCAGACTAACATCTGCCCACTAACCTGTCAAGCCAGGTCTCTGGGCCCTGAAAACTATCTAGGAAATCAGACAGGATTAATGGTTAAAGAGTTAATTTAAGCTCATTTCCATTTGTCAGCCAAGAGAGATTATGTAAATCAAATACGCACTCTTCCCCTCTCGCCCAAACAGCAATAGCAGAATGCTCATTTATTGTGTGCTATAAATTAAAACTTTACTGTGTCTCAGCAGTGCTTTCCAGAGTTTTAAACACAATATTCTCCCATATTACCACTGGTGATTTTGAAAGAAAAGCGACTGACATTTTAAACATTATAATGAGGTGCAGGAAAGTAGGAATAGAATCAGTCTTCCTGAAAAGGCTTCATTAAATATTTACCAGAGACTTCACCATTGTCAAATTTAACTTCAGAGTAGCTACTAAAACATTGGCAGCTTTAAGACTCTATCTTGAGCTAATTAAGGTCTACTTCATTCCTACTGTTTTAGGTCTTCTATTATCACTACCATTTGGTAGGTCAATTTTCCAAGTGTTCACGATTTCAAAGTGTCTTGCCCCCTATAAAGTATGCAGACCTCCAAATTTCCATCACCCAAAGTTTGAGGGAAGCTTACTTTTTCAGAACTCCCTTTTGCCAGCATTGCTAGTCTGTTGTGTTTGGGACACTTCGTAGTACAGTTTACTTCAGTGGAGGACAGTGGGCTGTAGGTGTATTTGAAAAGTCTTGCAGAAGACACATAAGGCTGTTATTTCCTTCCCTTCAGTTACATGACCCTTCAGAACTCTGCAACTTTCCAACTTCAGCCACTTTTTTGCACAAGTTGGTAGCCAGTACTCCCTGAAATTTATGCCTTGTCAAGAAAATTGGACAGAATAAAGCTGTCTACTTCAAGAAGAAATTGTGCTTTTGTGCCATTTCATTGCCTAGTTAATACCAAGAAACTGGAGTGAATTATGGCAAATCTTTGATTAATAGATTAATTTTTCAGGGACTAACATGAAGGATAGAACTGCCAGAAGAGCTTTTTGCTACTATACTCCTACCAACATTAATAAGATGTCTGAAGGTCATCTTCCGCATGATACCAAGTGCCTGCAGCACGTGGTGACAAAAAATCACGTTTTTCAGATTGATTCTGTGTGATGGCAGTGCCATCTGTCAGCTAATGCCAGACTGATCAGAATAATGTATGCACTTTTATGTATGCTGTGAGATTCTGACGGGTACATTCATGCCTTTTTCACAACATGACCCAGGTCTCTGGCAAAAAAAAACACCCAATAAACCCACAAGTGAGATTAGCAAGAGAGACATCGTCCTGTCTAGCTGTTAACTAAATAAGCAGGAGAACCTTTGCTTGCTCAGTTATCTCAGTATTTCTGCCATGTACATTTCTAAACTTAAATGACACAGCATGAATAACTTTGAATATTTTATTGCAAAATCAGTCAAGAAAGTTTTAGATAAAAGACAGTTATTTAATTAAGAAGCAGGTTTAAACTATAAGAAGCAGCAAAAGACATTAGAACTGAGGTATCACCTGCATAGGATATCTTGGCTGATTTAGATTTTTGTTAGGAGACTAATTTCCTGTGTTAGAATAAAAGATGGGAAGCTGAAAACTTTTTCACTGTGCAATGATTGTCAGCATGAGAGGAGGCAGCATCTGTTAGATGCAGTCTTTCATCTCACATTAAATTTGATCTCACTGTGATTTGTATATCAGTAATTCTAGTCCCAGAAATCACAGGGAAGAAGTAGGTACCAGTACTATAGAGGGTACTTCGAAGTATCTCTATTAGACATCTACAGGAGCCTGAACTGGTCAGTATAAACCCCCTAAAACTTAGGTCCACGCACACGTGCGGACACAAATCATGTTCTTCAGATAGAACAGGTGGTATTTCGGCGTCTGAATATAAGAACCTAATGCCATTTTATACATCCAAAGGTATACAAAGCATGCATACAGGATTCCTGTGTAAGACTCGAGGCATCTAGAACCCTACATGAATAGCCAGAGACCAGGCTGCTTAGGATATCTAACATGAAACCAGGCAGCTATATTTAGGCACATAATTCCCTTATATAAAATTTATACTGTTGGTAAAATCAACATTTAAATGAATACGCAAAAGAAAGCAGCACAAAGTATTGATATAATTTAAGACTTTAGTCTGCTGAGCATTACAGAGCAATTCTAACCCCAAACCAGAATGATTAGAAAATTTTTTGTTCTTGAAAACAAACAAAACCAGATTGTTAGTTTTGCTTAAGATGTAGAACAGAAGATACATGGTGAGCCTGAAGCCACAGAATTTCATGTCTTAGTGGATGCCAGCAACGTAACTTGTTAGCAACATTTCACCTCATCTGTAATGCCAGCTAGGATAAACAGGAGACGGAAGGCTCTTTTTAGATAACTCCTCAGGCCTTGCAGGAAGAATTTTCATTCGTTTCTGATGTTGAAGTGAGTACCCAAAAAAATCAAGATTTTCTAGAAACGTGCAAAGGGCTGACAGAGAAGTGTCTAAATTTGCCTCATTTTAAAAATGCTTAGTGTTCACAGGTTCTTAAAGAGGCTGGTCACAGGATTTATGGGTTACAGAAGCTTTGCACGGAGCTAACACTGTTACCCTGTTATATGGAGATACTTAGAAAATTTGTCACAAGGTCTTTACGCAATTCAGTGTTTCAAGCCCCAACATCAAGACAATGGCGAGAGCATGTGTTATGAAGATGTCATCATGCCTCTTTAATCCAACCAAAATTCATGTTCAGCTAAAAAAAGGTACCTAAACAAAGGTATTTCATGGGGACACTTGCTCAGCTGAAGTGTACTGAGAAGAGAGCTTCAGCTGCAATTAATCCAGCTTTCTGATACATGAAGTAGTGCTTAAATCATAACCCAATTTCTTAGTGAGTTAGGACAGTAATTTGCAGGTTTTCAGATTCTTTTGCAGACTCACCTGCCTCAAGAAATATTGGTGCACTCCGCTAAAAAGTATCACTGCACATTGTCTTTAGAGAGTGGATGCTGATTTTGAAGCTGAAACACCATATCAAGCACAAATGTTCCATAAGCAAATCCCACTCTCTAGGCATTTTAAGTCTCATAAAGAAACCTGTGCTATATTAAGTGTTCCTGCACCACTAAGGTAGTGCACTAGATAGGATCATGGCTCTTTTCCAGAATAGTACTAAAAAAATAACAGGAATCATTTCCACAGCTTTCCCCTCAACACAGATACACAAAAGGATACACTAGAATAACTGAGTGCCATTTTATTATTTATTAATTTAATAGCTAGGTATCCACTTACTTTAGGTTTTGAAAAATGAAAACCATAATGATTCTAAGTGAAATACTTTTTACTCAGATCCACACCACCGCTCTGTCATTTCATAAGGCAAGCTGGCAGCTGCAGCATATCCCCATATATTTTCACGCACCTGTGTTGAGTCTCAACAACCTGATGCTAACTGCTTATGTGAGACATTTCTTGTATTTCAGAAAAAAACACATCTGATTTTTTATTTTCTTTTTAAACTAAAACATGTTCACACTAAATAATACAAATAAATTGTATTAGCTAGGCAGGTCTCCTTGTATTGTCAGACAGCTCTGAAAGTAATTTGAAGGCAAACTATCTGTTCCCAGGAGGATCATTATGATCTTTTGTTGCTTTACCTAGAAGTAGGTTAAGCTACTTTCAGGTGTTTGACCTTGGAGGATCTGAATCAGGAAAGCCTACACTATGTACCTAACAGTTAATACAGATGCTTTATATGGAGCATACACAATTGCTGTTCTATGAACGCTTCACATCTCCAAAGGATTAGGAGTCATCTCTGTGTTGACACCTACCTGTCAACTGACCCCCCACCCTTCCAAGGGTGCTTCACTACTGGTGTTTGTCACTTTTGAAAGACACAATCTGACAAGGAAGATCAGGTATGAATCATGTTACAATACTGCCACTCTGTGGGGTAAAGATGTCATGGGCTGCTCCAATTCTTTTCTGGCAGGGACAAGCGAAGAAGAATACCATCCGTGCTTACCCATTCATCAGGAATATTCAAAAAGAAATTAACAGACCCCAAGGTAACAGCACTTAATGTGCAAAAAAAATACAGGCTTGCCAAGGTGCTAAGTTCACTTAATTCTGCCCCTTAAGATCTGTTCAAAGCACCTGTGCACTCCAAAAAACATTGATAGGGCAAACCCCCGGGGCACTGGATATTCAAGCCATCCAGTTTTAGAGCAAGTGATAGACAAATTGACTTAATCTTAAAATAAAGACACTGGCCCCATGACTTACAAGCATCATGAGACAAAATTTTAATGTAATGATGCGCTTCTGTTTTCACAAAACAACTATTACTCCACACACAAGCCTAGCTTCAGCTTGCTGCCTCCATTAGCCTTACTCAGAATGCTTGTCTCTGAGGTGGCAAGCCCAACACAAGGTATTTTGTAACTTAAACACCCTAATCATTTCTAGGGGAGTGGCAATAAAGGGAGGAAAAAAAACTACAGATGAGTTTACAATTAAGTACTTAAATCAAAACTGGTCTTGAAGAGGAGGAAAATCTGCAGTTCATAACTTTTGTTTCTATTCATGTTTTTCTGCCAAACATCATCTTTCACATTTTTAGTTAGGATAATCCTAGTCTTGTTCACAGGTGGCCACATACGATCAAACATTACTGACGGAGGCAATTACCATTCTACTCCATGAGAATAACCCTTTCCTTCTCCGAAGTTATGGAAAATACTTCCCCCTCCTGTCTTTCAATAACAGACAGAGAATATGTAAGTAGTGCTTCTACACTTCACCTAAATAACACTCAGGTACTGAAGACTAAAGCTTTGTGGTGCTTACAGCAGTACCTCCTCTAGTGCAAACAGTTCTTATCACACAAGATGGGACAAGCAATGCCATTTTGAACCAGCATTACTCCTGGCAAAGAGTAACATTTTTACCATGCCACAAGTAAACTCACTCTGGAGCTAATAAAAAACTATGCTTTGTTCATGTGTGTCATTTGCAACACAGCACTTTGATGCTAGTGTGCTTAAACTGGTCTTCAGTGAGTCTTAAAATGACAGTAATAGTCTGTCTTACATTTGTGTAAGTTAACTAATAGGAAAAACATCAATTTTACTGAAATACAGCAAGTACAGTAGATAAACTGACCACTACACCCAACTTCTGGCTGGCAGTTACTAATTGCTTAAATCACCTTATTGGTTGTCTTATTAAGACATTGCCATAGGTTCAGAGCTCAGTATAGAGATCAACTCTTAGGACAACCTGGCAAATTACCTAATTATGAGCAAGAGCATCTAGCTTAAGGATTATTCGTTCCAATGCAAATAGTGGAGCCCCTGACAAGGCTACAAAGATTCTGCAGTTTCAATTCTTTGTTCCCAAGTGTTGATTTTACAGGAAAAAGGTAGGACTCCTGTTAATAGCACACTCAGTTCCAGAAGTAACTATTATATGCCATCAGTCAGTAACATTTGCCCTAAACAGAATAACCTTAAGTAACCATTTTTGAAAGGTGAAAGTCTTCCATAATGAAGTCTGCATTCTGCAGAGCTTTCTTTTAAGCTATTTTCCCCCAGACATTTTAGGCAATAAAGAGCTGGTAGGAATACTGTGCTTTAGGGAATGGATGCCTAAATTTCCTGAGGGAACTAACACAAAATCTTCAGATTGCTGCACTGAATCATTCATTTCACCACACGTTCTGCCTTTTCCTCCTGAAGCAGCAGTTTGGAGCTTGCCTTACCTTGACTCTGTCCAAGGTGTAAAGACAGCCAAGGGGCTTTTGCTCAAGGAAAACTGATCAGAATATGTCAGGAAACAGCTTAATATGGATAAGCCCTTTAGTTTTAGCAGCTACAATAAATGCAGACTCACTGAAACTTCATAGTGGAGCTACCAGAAGGTAGATCAACTACTCCAAAGTTTAAAATATACTGTACTTGCAAGAACTGGAAACCAGTTTCTCCCTAGATTTGCTTCAGGGAATCTAAAAGATCTCTATATAAAGGTTTGGAAGGTTTCCTAATCAACTCAAATTTGGTGGTCTTGAAAGCATCCCACACTTCCAAGCTTCACACAGTAACCCAAACCAATCAATGTTATATTAAAGGCCAGTGCCAGCATCTGAGTAAGCACACAACTGAGGTACCTTCTTCACCCTTGTACAACAGTAACATCTTGCAGAACTCAAGTGTGAAAGGCTAATGTGGTCTGCTAGGTCCACTGTGAAGATTATTATGTAATCTTCGAGCTCATGTAGAGTCGAGTAGACTCTTCTATTTCATTCTAAGTGGAACAATCTTCAGTTGTCCTAGAATGAAGTGTATTTATTTATAGTGACAAATTCAAATCAACATGGAGAAACTAAAAAGATGCTTTAAAAGAGCCAATTTTTAGGAATTGCATCCTAGAGACTTATACTCACGTTTGCTTTTGATTTCCTAGCTGACTCCAAACTTCAACTACAAAACCATCAAAATTTTCATTCTAAACAAAGGAAATCGACAACAATATACAGTTAATCACCATGCTTATTCATTATGGTTGTATCAGAGATGATAATACAGTATCAAAGCACACAACTACTGTAGTTTTTCTTGTACTATTACAGATTGAACATGCTTTAGATTCTTATACCAGCTTCGTCTTTAATGCAGCATTTCATGAAGAAGTCAAAGAGAAGCACGAATTATTTAACAAACATGCAAAAGTTGAGAATCTCTTAGTTATCCATGACTTCTACTCTTACAGGATAAACCAGTACCATTAATGAAAGATGGTTGTTAAGCAAATCATTTGACACACATTTACATGTATATTGGGAAAAAAGTCTAAAGATGTAAATGCTAACTTGGCATATGCATGATTCCAAACATCTTCCACAATTAATCTCACTTGTGATAATTTTTGCTTAGCATGATCAAGGATACTGTTGTACTTGAGTACCCTTTCCTTAAGAAGCTAACTGTTACTGAGGACCTAAAATTGATGTATCAGTTACAAATCTTAAGAAACTATTCAGTTTACCTCTACATCCATCTTCCTCTAGAGCACATTAAGATTTCTTTACATAGTGTAGCAAGTGAGAAAACTTATTATGACAGTAATTAAGCCAGCTGTCATGAATCAACCACTAAAGCTGAATGTCTTTTGGGTGCAACTTGTCTAGTCCTACACATGCATAGTTCTAAAGCCATTAGCTAAGGGGCTGCCCAGAAAACAGTAGCAAACAGTAACCATTCCTTACACGAAATCCTCTTCTCCTCTGCCTAGCCTCTTAACATTTCAAGGAAACTGGTCTATCAGACCTGAGCAAAACTGTACCGTAACAGATATCCAGTGAGTTATTCTTGGTATTAAAAGTGGCTCATTAGCTCTAGCACACTGAGCCTGAATGTACTCCTGTAACACAGAAAACAGCACTCATTGCAACCATGACACTTTTTCTGCCTATCAAAAAACACCACTAACCAGTTTAGCCCCTGCTTAACAGATTTATTTTTTAATAGAAATTTAAAGGAAAGCAGTCTGCTCCCTAGGCAACCTCCATGAGAAGTTTATCAGGCATCCACTACTGCCTTAGTAACGTTCAGTCTGTCAGCTGTTTGGAACAGGTTTTATCAATCACAATTTATAGCAGGCAAAAGCCACCAGTGCAGCTGCCAACAATAACTTAACAAGGTTATGTTGATCAGACTTATGTAGTCTCACTTTAGACTTGTAGTTAACTGCACTTAAGTGTTGCTATACTCCGTATTTACAGGAATTGGACACATACTAGGACACACTATCCTGCCTCATTATTGTTTTGAGCAGAATTTTATTTTGTATAATATAAAATTACTGGAAATGAGAAAATACCCATTACAAAAGGAATCAAATATCATCTCACACTATTTTATAAGCATTAGCAAAAAGTCTTTTTACCTTGGCTAGCAGAACCATGCTCTTGGAAAGCTCCTCTATCTCATCCTCGCTGGAAAAAACACTCTCGAAGTCCTGATAAGTCCAGCCATCAAACAAAATTCGAGGTACTGTCAAGCAAAGTCGACAACCAGTAGTGAAAATTAAGAATTTATTATCTACACTGGAGTATTTCTGCAGAACGAGAATACAGCAGATGCCAGCAGAGATGCCACTAAACAACATATCCCATGACTAAGATCATTACTCTTTTACTCTGGGCAACCACAAAGGTGGTCCTCCAGTACCCAGACCCAGGTCAGACAGGGATGAGGTGGGGGCTTGGAAGAACTGCGCTGCTCCTTTCCTGACACAGGGTGAGGAAAAGATGTTCCTGCTGGCTTTTGTCCTTGTTAAATCTGGTGGGTGACATTGCTACTGACCTTGTGTGTGTATTGGGATGGTTTTAATTCAGGAATGGTTGAAGAGAGATGCAAGAAGCAACTGAAAGAGTTAGCAGTGATGTTCACTGGCATTAAGATCATCTGACCTTTCAGACAAGGATGGAAAAGAAACGTGATTCTTTTTTTTTTATATCTACCTCTTTTAATGAAGTAGGCATGGAAGAATTAAGAATATCAAAGTATGCACTCAACCTTCATTTTCATAGCTGGAGTGGACCAAATTTCATCTCTTGTACACTGAATTAAGATCATCTGAATCTGACCAGGCTCCAAATCCAGTATAACAGTTTTCACAGCTGATCTGTGCAGCACTATATGAATATAGTTGATTTGTATATTTTGAGCAAGAGGAAAG